CAGGCTGGGGACAGCCACCTGGAGCCCAGGAGGGGGACAGCCACCTAGAGCACAGGCTGGGGACAGCCACCTAGAGCACAGGCTGGGGACAGCCACCTGGAGCCCATGCTGGGGACAGCTACCTAGAGCCCACACTGGGGACAGCCACCTGGAGCCCGTACTGGAGACAACCACCTGGAGCCCAGGCTGGGGACAGCCACCTGGAACCCACGCTAGGGACAGCCACCTGGGTGCTCAGGTCACAGAGAAACTCTAGCCGTGTGGAGTAACAGGGAGTATTTAGCCTCATAACACAAAGCCTTCAAGTGAGCAAGATAACTGGCTTTTACTACGTGACAGGTATCAGAGTAGTTAAAAAAAAATTTTATTTATTACAGAAAATTTCAAGCATACAAAAATAATAAAAGGGACTTCCATGAACCCCCATCACTCAGCTACACCATTATCAATGCTCAGCAATACTTCCTGCCTCAGTGATTCTGAAGCCAAACTCAGATAACGTCATCATTTCATGCAGGGGCTCTTCGTGACCTGTTTTGTAGAGATTATTATTATTTTTTTGTAGAGATTATTTTTAATTCCATGTGAGTAGAACTAGAGTCATTGTGTAGAAAATGGAAAATATTTAAATGAAATATAAGAAATACTTGTAGCAGAGCCGTCAACCCTGGTCTTGGGAAGTAATGAATTTATCACTAAGGACATAGACGAGAGAACCAGGAGGACCCCCTGTCTGTGGGACGATAGAGGATGCCAGGGGCCGGATAGTGACTGGATTTAATCAGCGATCCTCAACTTTTTCTTTGCCTTACGGAAACATATAGTGGATGGCACTGGCCTTCTTCACACACCCTCCAGGTGGCTTCCTGTAAGCTAGAACAATTCCAGGTACTTTTCCCCCAAAGCATATTAAAATGCAAATAGGTGGGAGGTGGTTACCATAGAGATAGCCTGAAGTTTGGTGTAACTTGTTACAAACCAAAAGCAAATCCTTCACTAATTCTGATACTTTGAACAGAAACTAACGATTGAGACCCACCCTCTGATCACTGAGCACGCCTGCAGCTCTGCAGGGGAGATCACTGGGACAGTGGGTCACTGAGGTCCACCCTAAAGCGGGGGCTGTGAGTCTGTGAGCAGCGCATGCGCAATTGCGGGCTCTACGCAGGGGTTGTTACTCACATGGAGAAGTTGGTAATGAAGGCTCCTTTGGGAATCTGGACATCAAACACGACGTTCTGAGGCTGGGGGGAGTTGTTCACCACTTTGCTTTCAATGATGGTGGTGGCCGTCCGAGAAGTGATGGTGGACCGGACCTTGTAGCTATACAGGGTGACTTGGTCCACGGCTCCCTGAAATGGGCCGGAGAGCACAACCGTACTGACGGCGAGATCACACAGAGCCTCACTACCAATCGGGCGCTAATGTCACTTGTCACTGACGATTTGTTATCAGCCGCACACTTCCCTTGTTAGTGATGATTCCAGGCCTTGGTAAGTACCCAACTCAGGTGTATTAAGCACCCTCTTGACTTCCTGGAATACCCCACAGGCACAAGTCTGCCCTTGTTTTGAGACACACCTTGAGATGCTTTTTTAGCTCAAGGAGTCTGTTAATGATAATTCTTTCAAAAATTAGAATACAATTAGAAAATGGTTATGGGAAGCCAGGTTGGATCAAGGACGTTTATTTAAATGCAGGGCCACAGGAGAGGAAAGGAATGCGCCCTTGGGCTTGGCAGGGACCCCACTGTGTCTTCAGAGTGAGGTGCAGCCAAGTGCTGTGGTGCTAACTCCCACCTAGCCCCCCAAGCCCCCCAAGCCCCCCACAGCTCCCTGATCTCTCCATCTCAGTCTTCCTCCTCCCCCCAATTAAAACAAACTCCAGCGGGTCTGCACAACGAGCATTCATCATGGGGAGGGCATTAGAATGGGACTTTTGGTCCAAGGCTCTGGACCTTCTTTTCTCATCTCTGCCGAATTAAAGCAACCACCATGTAAAAAAAGAAAAAGAAGGCTCAGCGCCCATAGCACAGTGGTTAAGGTGCCAGCCACATACAACAAGGTGCAAGTTTCGAACCTGGCCCAGGCCAGCTAGACAGCAAAGACAGCTGCAACAAAAAATAGCCGGGCATTGTGGTGGGCGCCTGTGGTCCCAGCTCCTTGGGTGGCTGAGGCAAGAGAATCACTTAAGCCCAAGAGTTTGAGGTTGCTGTGAGCTGTGACGCCACAGCACTCTACCGAGGGCGACATAGTAAGACTCTATTTCAAAAATAAAAAAATAGTCTTCTCACAGCAACTCTTTCCTTCTTCAAAGCTGTCAGGCATAGTATTTTAAATCAACATGATTAAGTCAGAATAAATAATACATAAAACTTGAGAAAATAAAGAGAAAAGACATTTTGGGCCCCCGTGGCCTCTCTCCTGTTTGAAAATACTGTACCCTTCAATGCTGGATTTCAGAAACACATCCAAGCAGAATTAGGCAAGGGGGTATTTCGAAAGTCAGGTAAACAGGGATGAAGACAAAGCAGACACCTGGATTGATTTCCAGGTAATAGTTAACAGGAAAATCATTTTGTAACAAAATCAAAATCAAAGCAAACTTACCATCGTTTCCTCGGATTCTCCGGAAAGGCTTCTCTGTGAAAGGAAGTTAGACAATCATTCTTTAGCTGTGTGTTACTTATTACCTCAAGGGCAAAAACCATTTTCTCAGTAAAAAAAAAAAAAAATTATTTTTCTGCAACTCTGAGCTGTCATTCATTCACTGGAGCTAAGACATAAATACCAAGGATACTTAAAAACTAATTTCCTGCTGGTGATATTCTCGGAATGAGTCTCCAAACCAATTTTGGTTGTGTGTATGTCACGCTTTGCTATAATGCTAAAACAAATATCTTTAAAATAAAAACACTCAGCCACACTCATACTGGGTATGGTATTTCCCCTTATTTGTCTGGTTTTTTAAAATTCACTTGAATGGCAATCTGGATACTCCACTCGACCCTGGGGCTCTCTGTCTGCTAGGCCCACATAGTGAACTCCTACTCATACTTCAGAACCCAGCTCCTCTAACCCACTAGACCAAGTCAGCTTCCTTTACTGAGTATTTTCATAGCAGCCTATTTCTTCCTTCAGTGCTCTCACTGTGCTTTATAATTACTCCTTCTTTTTGAGGGATGATTTGATTAATGTCTGCCTCTTCCTTCAGACTAAGCTACCTGACAGTAGGGACTTTGAAGTGGGGTAGTCCCAGAACCAAGTATAGGTGACTGGCACATGGAAAATTCTGTGCTCTTAACCATCACACTAGGGGATTACCCACCAAGCAACTCTCCTGTGGGCGGGGACAAAGGTGATCCTTTTGCCTGTGAAAACTGAATAGCTCAAGAGTAAAGGGTGAACCTTGAACATTTCATTGGTTGTACATAATAAACCAGGCATTGGATATAAGCTCCACTTGCCTGGTTTGGGATGAACCAAGATTCTAGAGCATGCTCTGTGACACAGTGGGGTCACCACATCCTTCTTTTAGAGTTCTTTTCTTTTCTTTTTTTTTTTTTTTTTTTGAGACAGAGCCTCAAACTGTCCCCCTGGGTAGAGTGCTATGGCATCACAGCTCACAGCAACCTCCAACTCCTGGGCTCAAGCAAGTCTCCTGCCTCTGCCTCCCAAGTAGCTGGGACCACAGGCGCCTGCCACAACGCCTGGCTATTTTTTGGTTGCAGCTGTCATTGTTATTTGGTGGGCCCGGGCTGTATTTGAACCCACCACCTTAGGTGTATGTGGCTGGCGCCTTAGTCACTTGAGCCACAGGCGCCGAGCCTAGAGTTCTTGAATGCAATGCTCAGTGACGATTTTTTCTTTCCTGTGGCTAAAGACTTTGACATAAAGTCTTGCCTATTGGGTTTTAATATTATTGATTTACACAAAAGACTTAGATTTTTAGAAAATAAAAAATTCATCCCCATGCAAAGTAAGTCACTGGTCAGCTTAGAGCGTGCTGCTCCATAAACAACTCCTTTCTCAGCCCGTGGGGTCTATGTGGGAAAAGCCAGGGAACTCACCCCATGAATAAGAGGGTTTTCGCTCTTTCCTGCCACTGGTCTGAGCCACTTCCCAAGACAGAGTGACGAGAGGAAGGAGAATGTGGGGCTGCAACGGGAAGTGTCTGTCGCTGCTGGACTAAGAAAGTCCCCCTGAGGACAGGTGCAGCCGCTCAGGCCTGTAATCCTGGCACTTTGGGAGGCCAAGGTAGGAGAATTGCTTGAGGCGAGGGTACTAGGCCAGACTGAGGAAGAAAAAGACCCTCTCTCTGCTAAAAATAAAAAAATTAGCCAGGCATTGTGGCAGGCACCTATAGTCTAGCTCCTTGGGAGGCTGAAATAGGAGGATCCCTTGAGCCCAGGAATGTGAGGCTGCTGTGAGGGATGACACTGCTCTCCTGTCTGGGAGGGAGTGCAAGACCTGTCTCCAAAAAAATTTAAAAAAAAAAAAGAAGAAGAAAAGAAACGTTCTCCTAGTCTTCCTAATAGGAAATCCTTCTCTACATTGAATGTAAAATCATTTTACATTCTTAAGTTTTGAAGAACGTGCACCTTAATGAGGGGAAACGGGTTCCTGATCCAGGCAGTGGTCTGACTATTTCACATGGACCACGCTTCCACCTAGGTCTAAAACCACTGGACTCTTCTCTGCTAAAAATCAAAGGTCTTGAGAAAACCTAGCCCAAGACACCTTAGCCTCTTTCCTTCACGCCCCTGTGGGAGAAAGGCTCACCTTACCTGCTGTCTCCGGTTCTCTGGAGCAAATCCAAATTTGCCTGGGGCCAGTTCCACAAGATCTTCATAATCTACAAACTTAAAAAAAGAAGAATGGAGGGTGTTTATTTTTATTTTTAAAAAAGGTCTTAGAGTCAAAGAGGCAGTTGGTGGTACTCATGATATTATCTTATATTCTTTCCTCTCCCTATGAGCAAGTTTATTTTTTAAAATACGATTGTTTCTTCAACATATATGTGTTTGCTGGGTAGGTCTCAGAGGTGTCTACGTGGAAGTTAACGTCCTCACATCTGCTGGGCATGGGAATTCATTTTTTAGTTTGCCAGGAGATGGCAGGAGAGACAGGTAGGGCTGAAGGGCCTCTGTGATTGGGTAGGGGCCCCAGGAAGTACTTGGGTGGGTCCTGGAGTCATTAGCAGTGTCTGACCGGACAGACGTGAACCATACATCTATCCAAGTTGAAAATATAGGTACAGGGTGGTGCCTGTGGCTCAAAGGAGCAGGGCGCCGGCCCTATATACTGGAGGTGGTGGGTTCAAACCCGGCCCCAGCCAAAAATTGCTAAAAAAAAAAAAAAAAAAAAAGAAAGAAAGAAAGAAAAAAGAAAGTATAGGTACAATGTAAAGTCTCTATCTTTTTTTTTTTTTCAGTTTTTGGCCGGGGCCAGGTTTGAACCCACCACCTGCAGCATATGGGGCCGGCGCCCCACTCACTGAGCCACAGGCACCACCCAATTTGTTTGTTTGTTTTTATGGCTTTACATCTTTGGTATTTACCCAGTTGGAGGTGAAGCACATTCTTAATAAAGTATCACAGGAATGGAAAAGCAAGCATCCAAGGTACTCAATGCTAACATGAAACCAATAGAAAAACAACTGCACACCCACACAGTCTATTCAAGTGGAGGGGGGAGGGAAAGGGGAGAAGGGTGGAGGGTTGGTAACCTCTTACTCAACGGGCATAGGATGTAAGGGTGTACAGCACCCCAGGATGAAGGGCTCAGCTGCAGCTTGAACTTCAGCTTAGAAATGCAGGCAGCATATCTAATCCTTTGTACCCTCATATTAATCTGAAATAAATTCTATGAAACTAAAAAAAAAAATGAAAAGACTATACAGGTAGGAAAGGAATTCCCCTCAAAAATGACTGAAGAAGCACAAACACATTTGGGTGACTTGGCTTCAATTGGAGACTTCAACACACTCTGCTGGTTTTCAAAGAGTTGGAAAAGATGATATTTTCTAAGCAGAAAGGGTCATATTTTCCCCTGTAAACACACCATTGCATTCTTTTTTTTTTTTGTAGAGACAGAGTCTCACTTTATCGCCCTCGGTAGAGTGCTATGGCATCACACAGCTCACAGCAACCTCCAACTCCTGGGCTTAGGCGATTCTCTTGCCTCAGCCTCCTGAGTAGCTGGGACTACATGTGCTTGCCACAACTCCCAGCTATTTTTTTTTGTTGCAGTTTGGCCAGGCCCGGGTTTGAACCCGCCACCCTCGGTATATGGGGCCAGCGCTCTATCCCCTGAGCCACAGGTGCCGCTCACGCCATCATGTTCTTTAGCATTTTGCAGGCAATCCACTCTCAAGTCTCTGCCTTTCAAGAGTGTTCCCATAACACACTTTGATTTTTTAGCATGAAAATATCTCTTGTATGACTTTCAAGTCCAAGAATTTCCCTACTTGGGGGGGCTAAGGGTCCAATGTGGAGACCTTGAGCTCTGTGGGACTTGTTCTCACATTGTACTGGACGACCACCTGCTGTCTTCTCCTGAAACAGGAATACTTAAATGCCCTCATTACAAAGCCATTGTTCACGACAGTGGGAGAAACCATGGTGCTTCTATAAAGACTTGTTAGAAAGTGATAATGGTATTTCTTCATCATCACAGCTAATAATTATTAAGCACCAAGTAGTCCAGTTGCTGGGCTACATGGTTTATGTACATCATTTAATTCTCATGGCAAACCTCTGGACAGGTCTTGATTACCCATTTTCTAGATAAGGAGTGAGCCGCCGTACTCCATAAATGCTACACAGCAGTGCTGACCTGCTGAACTTGACTCTCCCACAAAGCCTGTTAATGCTTTAAAGGGTAAATACACATTCTGGTAATTATAACAGTAAACATCTGTTCTCAGATGAGTTTTACCCTAAGTTTCCGTTGCACACAAAATAAGTAACTGCAATAGGTTATTTACTGAGCTTAGGTGTAGGCCAACAACAAGGAGACTTCTGGAAGTACTTACTTCGGGAAGTCCATCTGTGGGGATCTCAAAGCCTGGTGTTTGAGAAAGAAGAAACCAGATGAGAAAGCACGTGAGTCGTCTCATTCTGCAGGGCGGCTTTGCCAGCTCCCGAACAGGAGGTCCTGCACACTCCACTCCTTCCTGCTAAGCCACGTTCAAAGGAGCAGCAGACGAGGCCGCTTCACTTCGAGAAAGCCGAAAAAACCTCTCTGACTTTGCTCAAAATTGAAACAAATATTTGTTCTGGAGCTCAAACTTGAGCTGTGGGGGTGGATCGACACCCAGAGGTTATTCAAACAGCGAAGCCAGATGTAGTCGCTGGTTGAGAGGACAAGTCAGGGACAGATGAATGCCATTTTTTTTTCTTTTCCTTTGCTGATTTCAATTGATCTTAAAATCAGAGAGAGAGAAAGATAATCGCCACCGTTTTTTAAAGGACCCACTGAGGAGCTATTGCAAGAAATAGAGGCAGAGAGAGAAAAGCCACAGGGAAGTTTCTGCACGTAAAATCCTCTGGTCTAAATTCAGAAGAAATTTAGAAAAAGTGGGAGTAGGCACAGAATGGTTTTCTGAGCAGAGAATTCACTGAGAACATTTCTCCCTCTCCCTTGGTAACCGAGTGTCTATTATTTACAGCAACTGGGCGAGGTGCTGTGGGGCCAGCGGGCATAGTCTCCGTGAGATGCTTTGTGAGTGTCTTTGACTGAGGTCTGAGCTTCTGTCCTGCTTCCCTGGTCAGCCAGGCTCAGATTCGTGACCAATTGACTGTCCCCATTTATATTATAGGAAGCCTGATATAATAATATTATCCCTTCTCATTTGTGGCCTATGTATTATAATAATATCTGAGCCACGATTTAGAAACTATTATTATAAAATCTAAATGTTTCTAATGTTTCCAATACTAAGATGTATTGGACCCCCCCTGAGGTCAGGCACTTTTCTTGATAAAGGAACCATATGAAGTGTGTACTATATTGTCAGTTTACAATTGAGGAAAGATGAGATTAATTGCCACATGTCACAGTGAGTGGAGACTCAGGGCAGGGCTGGCCTGACCCCAAAGCCTTTGTTTTTCACGATTCAACCAGGAGGGTTTTCCTGCTGAGCCTGTCCCTGGGAGCTGTCTTCTAAGTGTGCATTTAAACTACAGTTTACCTGCTACCCCAGGCAGGGGGCAAGTCTGCTTCCCTGGTGTTTTTTTGCTTTCTTTTGTTTTTTCTTATTAAATCATCGCTATGTACATTAATGCAATCGCGGGGTACAATGTGCTGGTTTTATACACAATTTGAAATATTTTCATCAAACTGGTTAGCATAGCCTTCATGGTATTTTCTTAGTTATTGTGTTAAGACATTTATGTTCTACACTTCCAAGGCGCATCTGACAAGGGTACATGTGAAATTTACTAAGTGTAGAATATAAATGTCCCTGCTGTTTTCTTGAGTCTGAGTCTCCCAGGCTGCTGTGGACGCCAGTTGATCAGCTGAGGACCTGAACGCCCATGTTGTTTCTGGTGGTTTCTTTCCCCGGGATGGACTCGTGGGTTCTGCTTTCTGGGTGTTCTTCCACCCAGCACCTGGTGGAGGATTCCATGCTGGGATAATTACTCTTTAAAAAGAGTCAGCCACACAGGGGGACTCTACCAGCATCAGGACAGAAGGTCTGCTGTGCCCTCAGACACCAGGAGTCGGTGCTCTTTCCAGCAGGTCCTATTCTAACCAGACTCAGCGGGCTCCTTTGCCCTGTACCTCACTGGGAGGATGAAACTGAACACAGGGCCAATAGGTCAGTTGTTTGAAATTGTCCTCTGACTTCATTTAAAGGAAAGAAAGAAACCCAAACACAGTTTGATGCTTTAAATTATAGACACTTAAGTCAGGATCTCGATATAGATGAAGATGAAGAAGAAGGAGGAGGAGGAGGAAAAGAAATATAGACGCTCATAGATGGAATAACATAGTCCAGAAATACATTTCGTAGGAAATGCATTATAAACCTGAAACAACAGAAACAAATCCAGTCCTGAATAAATGCTACGGGGACAATTAGATAATGTTAGAAACAATTCGATAATGATATAAAAAAGAATTAACTTTAAACCATACCTCCCATCACATCTAACAAAAATTCAGAATGGTTTGAGGAATTCTGCTTTGAAAGCAAGCGTGAAACACCGGGTGGCCTGCCCCGTGCTGATATTCTCTTAGGTACTTACAAGAGAAAACAGAGATTTAAAAAAGAAAAAATACACGCATAGTTAGCGGAACTGGTTACCACTTGCCAGTACTGAGCCAAACTCCCATTTATGTTTGCCCCTATCTTGAGGATGGAAAAACCGATTTTCAGAGGGGTTGAACAATCAGCTCAGAGTCCCTGGAGGCAAGTGGGGGACGTTGGTCTGAGATTCCAACGCCGGCATCCCTCCCTGCACCACTGCACACAGCCACCAGCTCCTGCCTGAGAACAGGTGGTATCCATATAAAGCAATGCAGATAATAATTACACAGGGGCGATATAATAAAGGGGCACCTCAGCACAGTGTTGGATACTTATTACCATGTTTATCCACAAAGTTCCTTCTCCATCTGTTTGTCGGATTTGCGACAGCAACCTTAATTCAGTACCTGCCAGCCCACGTCCTTCCCCGCTGCAGAGGGTGAATACATGTCCGCTCAATGATTTATGAGGTTTTTCTTCATAGATTATTTTGTGCGACTGCTATCTGCTTTTCATGTTTTGTTTCTTCTCAACAGTCCAGTGTTTTACTAGATTCCATATCCTTTTAATTCTGCACTTCCTTTGCCACTGAACCCTCCCTGTACGATGAGCAGGTAAGGCTACTTTCACGTTTCCGAGTAAGGAGGCTGACGCAGGGAGGGAATGTCAGACATTGACCCGTCTTGGTAGGATTTTATTTTTCTTGCAACCGACAAGAAATGCACCCTGTTGGAGGCAGCGCTGAAATTGGCAGCTTCTGCTCTGGGCAGAATTTTAATGCATCTTCATGCCGAGTGCCCTGGGCAGCTTCTGGAGTTTCCTGGAACTCCTTGCTACAGCCTGAGTGAGTCACAGGGTGCCTGAGAGCTCTTTTTCTGCCTAGGTTTTCCTGTCAGCCTTTGAAATGCACAGCAGCCTATCTCTGGCGCAAACATAACTTCTGAAAGAATGGAAGGAAGAAAACAGATCCTCCCCCCTTGTCTGGGGGCTGGGTGAGCTCCCCTCTGAGCCCAGGAGGTGCCCCAGCAGACACCTCATTTAATAACCTTGTCACCATTGCTATTCTTTACTGAGATAATGTTTCTGGGCAGTAAAGCATGCTTGTCACAAACAATTGTGATTTTTTTGTTTTTTTGGCCAGGGCTGGGTTTGAAGCTGCCACCTCCAGCATATGGGGCCGGTGCCCTACTCCTTTGAGCCACAGGCACCACCCAAACAATTGTGATTTTTCACCATTTGTTATGGCACCTTCCATCAGTCATTTCACCTCTGATGATTTTACTCTAGTTTGGAGAGTAAACTAAGAAACCAAACTGAGGGGCAGGCTGGGCCACACCCCCTTCCCAGGCTGATGGTGCATCTCCAGAGGTTAAGATCTTGGAAAAACACACACGTTTGCTCTGTCTCGACGTTCTGAAGCTTGGAAGTTCCCGTGTGTTCAGGTCACTGGGTCCTGAACTCAGAACCCGTCCCTCCTCCCCGTCCTGCCCTACCATGCCAGGGCAGCTGCAGGGTGGAGAATCACAGTGCCCACTGGTTGACAGGATGGAAATCACCACCACAAGTGCCCGAGAACATGCACGGTCATGGGTGTGCAAATCAGCAGGAAATCTACCGCAGTGGTTCTCAACCTTCCTAAAGCCGCAATGCATTTTCATTGTTAAAAAGGGGTTGTGACCCACAAGTTGAGAACTGCTGATACAGGGAAATGATTCACGGGAGTTCCTAATGTCTGAGGAAGGTAACAACTCAGTAAGTACTCACTGAGCATGCTGAGAAACGCCGGGAAGCCAGAGCCTCACCACTCTGCGTATTCATGGTGGCTGGGCTGGCGGCCTGGAAGTAGCTGTTACAGATTTATGAAATGCAGCTTCAATCCTGCCATTGTCAAAGGATATATAGTTAAAAGTTCAAAGTCAAAGCTGAACTAACTTATAAATGGGTATGTCCGACTCTAATGCAAAATATGGAGAAGGCCTGTTTTCTACATATATTTCAGCTCTGGTACCTTGTGTTTTTTTTTTTAAGACAGAGTCTTACTCTGTCATCCTGGGTAGAGTGCCATGGTATCACAGTTCACATAAAGCTCAAACTCAGTGATTCTCTTGCTTCAGCCTTCTGAACAGCTGGGACTTCAGGTCCCCACATCAACTCCTGGCTAGTTTCTCTATTTTTAGGAGAGATGTGGTCTCGCTCTTGCTCAGGCTGTGCTCGAACTCCTGAGCTCAGGCAATCCTCTGCCTCAGCTTCCTAGAGTGCTGGGTTTCAGGCATGAGCCACCGTGTCCAGCCTCTTCTCATCTCTCACTTAGTTCAGAACACCTATTATCTTCCTATCTGCCTTCCTGCCTTACCTAGAAATCTCACCTGAGATAAGTTATGAAAAGAGGACATCATCAGAATATAGACCAAAAAGAGAAGATTTGGGGTCTGTGCCATTCTAGGGCACTCTTCAAGTTAGAGCAAACCAAGCGAGGAAGCAACCAGCCAACAGAAACTTGGCCTTTGGACACACCTGTTTCACGTATTTCCACGTGTGGCCTTCCTTTCACACGGGGCCTGATCTGCACAAACTTCCTGTAGTTTCAGTTCTTTTAGGCAGAGACGAGGTCCTCCCTTTGTTCACTGCACAGGGGACTCACACTTCTTGAGCATTCTCATGAATACACAGGAGAATGATGACACCTGAAATTGCAGGTGATCGAAGCTGCTTTTGGCTCTAACAGAACGGTGCATTTCTCTGCCGAAAATGCAGTTACGTACACGGAGCGTCGCCGTACAGGCAGTCCTTGCTTCCCGTGATTCTGATGTGCATGGATTTCAGTTACCGTCATTCAGTTGAAGACGTGTGACTCTAATCCCCCCAACAACGTGGTTTCAATTTCAGCTATTGGACCGTCTCAATGTGAGGGATGATGTGAGTAATGACACCCACCTGCTGCCGGATCGTCACTCCAGGTAGTGATGAGTAGTGACGTATCATCCCTGACGGTCATTTCCGCG